TACCCGTCTCACAATTCTGCCTGAAGTGATATCACCGCAAAGGGGTTATATATTGAGTCACTCCTCCTGGAATAAAATTTCAACATCCTTCTGCCGTCTGTACTTTAGCAGAGTAAAGCTCTGCCTTGAACATCTCACCATGAGTTCGATCTTCGCACCCCTTTGGCTTCCTTGGTCCATACTAACTGATCGTACTTAGGGAGAGTCAGTCCTACCTTTTGCGACCTCGAACGGTCATTATTATAACTTTCACGATCCGGGTCATACAGCGAAGCATTTCCACCCATCAGGAAGCTCCTAAGGGCAGTGAATATACATCCGGCGCTTCCAGCTTGAAAGGGCTGTACCGTCGTTTGTTGTCCGCCATACATACTGCCCTGAAGAGATTGGCATCACCATGAAGTCAATCAGAGCCTAGCAGACTCAATAGTGGATTACGACATCATTCTCCGCGAGAATGCTGGCGTTGGGTCCTGGAACACCCACGAAAAGATTACTTCCTATCTGACTGACGGTATTATGCGCAAGTTGGACGGTAATACTCTTGATTATCTTTTCTTCGGTGGCATGGTAGTGCGTTTGTTACCGCACCTATGGGAAAGCACCGCCAGATACAACGATGGAGAACCCCGATTCGTGCGTAAATACTGAGCCCTTTAGCACGCAAGCCCCCCCCCCCCTCCTCTCCTCGAACAACGACCGGCTGACTAATTTTATTCACCAGCAATAGTTTCTGACCAGAAGACAAACGCAGGGTTAGCTGTGGAGAGTGAGATCTTGCCAAAAATCGTTGAAAGTAAAGAAAATGCAATATCAAGTCTGACATAGAAAGCTCGCTTTTGGGACAACATCATCACGGCAAGCCTCCAATTGTGGACTGATCATTTCCTTACCCTTTGGCTCCTGGAATCTATACTGTACGGAAAATATACGTCAGTCAGCATTATTGAATGCCTACGAAGATTGGCAGTCTTTGCTCTATGACATAGTCCCACTCTTTCTTGCTTTTTGTTGCAGAAACTTGCCGGACCTTGTCAATCGGCACAATTTTATCTTTTATCGCAGGCCACCGCATCTGCAGATTTCTTTTACCAAATTGGGACGTGTACGCCCCATACAGCTTTGGATTTTTCATAAAAATGAAAGTTCCATATTTGCAGCGTGAAGATGTTTCCAACTCTCTCCCCAGTCCAAATCGCTGATGCCAATTTCATCACTCTTTAGATTTACATTACTGTATAGGATAACAATGCAGCAAGAAAAGCGAGGTCTCACCAGAATTTCGAGACCATCTTTCACAACAATTCGACCGTCATGTCTTTCGGTAATTTCAGGAGTGACCTACTCAACTACAATCGAACGAGAGAACCCTGCATTTGTCAGACAAATGGCTCTAAGCGCAAGCGTGTACTATGAGTTCGAAGACCAAAAAAAGACGCATATCTGTCTACGTGCTTGAATAATTACATTGCTTTGGCCAGAGAACGGCCGCGAATCCCCAGTCCATGGCATCAGGCTATGGCATCTATCGATCCCGGAAGATTACTTGCGACCGAGGTGACCATCATTGCCATTCCAATGAGGTTCTTCGCAAAGACCGGGACGTGTTTGATTGAGCAATGAACGCCCGTACTCGATGCGAAATGTGGTAATCCACCGATAGTCGAAATCAAAACCGGCTCAAGTACTTCATTACTATACTGTAATTCGATATCATTTTCACGCTTCGTCATGGCTGCTTTGGCGCGTAAGGGGAACACGGCATCGGTATCTCTCTCTGTGTAAGGTAATTACAAGTTGAAATAGGCCAGCACAGCCACCGTTTTAATACAGGCAAGCCACAGTGGACTTGATTTTATTTATTTATTTATTTATTTATTTTTTTGATACATGAAACAAGGTCAGTTCGGTAACATAACTGCATTATACAACGGTATTTGCCTAGGCCCTTGTCGTATTTGGTATGAAATATTCAGTCATATGCTAAATGACCATCTTCTAAACAATAATGGTTCAAGCCTACGCAGGCTTAGACACGTCTTTTTTCGCAATTGAGTTGTACTGTAATGATTATTGGCCACGAAATAAAAAGGCAACCTGATGTGATACAATTTCATTGACGCGGTTTCATATGGAGGGTATGTATCCACAATAATCTCCAATGTTTTTCATGCAGACCAACAGGGACAAAGTTGGTTCTCGAAACCTGGATTTGGTGTTTCCTCAAATACTTGAGATCAATGATGATGTTTGCTAACAGTCTGTCGATCAGACAAAATGGCAGAAACGCTCCTAGTTACATTTTTGATTCCACCCTACGGCTCGTGTAAATATTATTATTCTCTTTTTAGCTACTGTAACATGGATCCGAGTCATTCGCAAAAGCACGCCAATCCGCGCGGAAAAGTCAGTATACGTCCAAGTGGTTACCCATCAATTCTATGAAGTACTAGCGGACGAATCTACAGCAGAAAAGTGAAGCTAAAGGTCTATCCGAAGGCTGTCTTTACAAATGGAGATATTGGCTCGTACTCTCATCCCACGGATAATGTCCAGACAAATCATAAGCGATCAACTCATGATAGGCTCGGTATGAGGCAAAGCGCTAGTCTATCAAGGCCAATTTCAGTATGGAGGAGAGTTTTTTTTGGACTTTATTGGGACATCTGCCCTCGCTTCGACCGTTCATCACTTCTCCACTCACGTCCTTTTTTATTCTTAACCGACTGTTCTTAATTGACTGTGCTCGACCATTTGTTCTTAACCGTTTGTTCTTGACCGTTTGTTCTTAACCGTTTGTTCTTAACCGTTTGTTCTTAACCGTTTGTTCTTAAATTTATCCTCACCAAAAAATGCTGTCTGCTTATTGACTATTTGCAGTCAACCGTGTCAAAATTTCTGCTTGACTGCGACGCGGCCGAGTCATCACCCTTTTGTCAAGGACATCGAGCGCAGTTTTGAGGTTGAAGAGCAACTTTTGGATATGTATCTTAGGGGCACACCCTAGAATGATACGGTATGTCAGCCAAAGCCAAGCGGTTCAATGTGTTAATTTGAATTCCACTGCAGCTATATTGGTATTCCAGAGGAGCCTCGTGGGTTCATCTTCGGAGAAGCTAGCGATGGTAATCTGCAAGCTTACATTGACCGGCATAATGATGCTATCGATCTATGTCTTCGATTGAAGTGGTGTTGCCAGGCAGCGGAAGCCGTTCACTATATCCACCAGAAGAGCGTCATTCATTCCGACCAGCGGTCAGAGAATTTCTCATTACACTCCGACTCCAAAGGCAAGCTTGATCTTCTCACCTAACAAACCAGAATAGTCAAAAATCCCAGGATCCCATCAAAAATTGGCTCAGATTTTGTGGGTTTCTGCATCCGTGGGTTCCACATTTTCCCTTCACCCGGCTTGAGCCCAAGGGGTTTTCCTTGCGACCTGGGCAAGCGGGGGTGCCGAACTGGGGGCAATATTGAAACCTGAAATCTTCATTGATCCTACAGTCATTAGCGAAATCTGCTTCCGCCCTGCACTGTCGTAAGTTTTAATGAGAGCCCCACTGCCAAGACAGTGGTGGATAATCCTACCCACCCGTCATCTATAACTAAGTAGCTTTGTAATTTTGGAACGATACAAAACACTGCGTGACGGTGTAACTCTACAGATTACTCAGATGATCTAGAAGATTCTATCGGCTTAAGTGAAAGTAGAACACGGTCTCTTGCTATATTGCCCCAATTTTGCATTATGGTAAAGAAGAATATATAATATGTTCAACATAAAATATGATCTTGGTGGGTAGTATGTCTGAATCCTTTGCAGGCTTATGTAGACTTATACACACCGGAGAGCTTCGCTCTGACTTTTTTCTGTACTATCCCATTCTTTCATGCTCACTTTCACACAGAATCTTCGCCAGAAATTTCACACTTGTTACGCTATACAGAGCTTGATCTGTTAAAAAGCTAGGCATAGCGTCCGCAATTCTGGTCCTAAATAGCCTTAGTGCCTACCAGCGCGAGCTAGTAATACAAGAGAGCGGTGTCCATTTTCCCGTTTTTCTCACGAAGAAGGCTATAGTTCTTTAGAATATTTAGGGTAGGGATATAGTTGAAAGGTGAGGTCGCACCAAAAGCTATGTCATAGACTACCAATGCTCACTCGTACATTGTGTCTGCCTCTTACAGCCGGCTTTGATCTGCTTAGAGGGCACCGAGGTTGTTGACGGTATCTAACTTCGACGTGTGTTCTCGTCCCAACGCCTTCTCCTTACCTTCCAGCGCTCGTTTGTACATTGCCTCTGCCTCTTGGAGCCGGCCTTGACTCTTGTAGAGATTGCCGAGGTTGTTGACGGTATCCAACGTCGACGTATGGTCTGGTCCCAGCACTTTCTCGTACCCAGCTAGTGCCCGCTGGTACATTTGCTCCGCCTGGTCCAGCATGCCTTGGTCCCGATATAGAACACCAAGACAGGTGACAGTGTCGAGGGTCGACGTGTGGTCTGGTCCCAGCGCTTTCTCATACCCTTCTAACGCCCGCCGGTGCATAGTTTCGGCCTCTACATACTTGCCCTGATTCCTGTACGTCGACGCCAGGTTGGCCATACTGGTCAGCGTGGAGGGATGGCCCTCGCCGAGCTTCGTCTTGCGAGTCTCCATCACCTGCACCTCGAGCTGCTCGGCCGCTTCCCACCGGCCCTGATTCCAAAACGTCGACGCCAGGTTGGCCATACTGGTCAGCGTGGAGGGATGGTCCTCGCCGAGCTTCGTCTTGCGAGTCTCCATCACCTGCACCTCGAGCTGCTCGGCCGCTTCCCACCGGCCCTGGTTCCCGTACGTCGAAAATGACTGAGCCCGACAGTCTGCATGTTGACAACCCTGTCTCCAAATATCTCCATGAGGCAGACCACCCTCAGTAACGGAGAACGGGGGAATTGCCCCTTGCAATCTCGCTGAAGTCTCGCCAAGCTTATGTCTTTTAACTCATATTATCTGATGCACGGACAGATGCAAGCTTTTATGATTATTACGGTCAGAACCAATTACACAAAGCAGTGGAATTGGGCGATGAGGGTGCCATTCAAATTCTCGTACGAAACCAACAAGCAGATGTCAACTGCTTCGATCATCGGCAGGAAAATCCGCTACTCCCGCATTTCCAAAGATACGGCCGTTTTCTCTCCATTGGTAAACAGCTGCGCATCATTGAAGCCTTGTTTTTGAGTCCCCTATCAATATGAACCATCGAGATAAAGATGGGCGAAGCGCAATTTGGCATGAGATGGACAATCCAAGCCCAAGGTTGGCTGAAATCTTGCAGCAAGTGAACATGGATTCAGATTATATCGTCGAGTTTGGTCAAATTCCTTTGGTGCAGGCTGTTGAAAATGGCTTCTTACCGCTGGTCAAACTTCTCCGAGATCCGAGACTAGATATAAGTCCTCGATCTGCCGATGCAGTACTGCTCATATGGTCAGCATGTCGTGCAGGACATTACTCCATGGTGAATTTTCTCCTGCAACATTCGGCCGATATCAATCAGAGAAGTCCCACAGGAAGGACGCCATTTTGGATGGTTATAGCTACGGAGCATGTGAACATCGTTCATCTCCTTCTCAGCTACGAAGAGACTATATTAGTCAATGAACAAGGTCCTTGATCCTTTACTGCGCTCATATTCGTATCAGCCAATAGTAGGCTTCACATTGCCACACTTCGATTGGAACACAAGGACCGCTTTCTAGTGGGCCGCAGCTGGTGGGCATATTGATTTTGTGCAGGTCTTGTCCATGGTGTCAAAAAGATGTCAAAAGATTTAGAAAACAAGACCGCATACCCCATCGCCAAGGATCACAACCATGTAAATATCATGCTTTATTTACGAAGCTTTTAGACTTCAAGCTAGGATTTATACATTATTTCATAGGTTTTATAATACACATTTCTAAGAATTCTTTTTCTTATTCCATGCATCCTGCTCGGGCAAAGTTATGGTTTGCGTACGATCTGCACATGGACTCTCGCCATTGCTGACGGAAGCATCTGCAACCAAATAAAGTTTGATGTCAAAAGTTGATGAAACCTTTGCAATTCGGTAAGCACGAGGCAGCCTTCAGGTACTCCCTAAAACCCAACTCGATTGGAAATCGACTTAGCTTTTCATACAGATCGTGTAGGAAGCTGTTCGACAATACGTAAATCGTCCGATATCAGCTTCGCACCACAAAAGACTTCTATCTAAAGCTGCAATTGCAACCAGATGAGCTTGATGCAGCAAGATATGAGGGAACATCCCGAAACCATATTGGTTGAGAACGCACGGACAAAAGGTGTGGAATGGTGTACCCTTCACAAGAATAATGCAGTAAGTAATTGATAGTTAGTCCAAGAAATCAACTTAAAGTCGGCGAATTCAACCTTTTCCACTCCCATAGTGAAGCAAAACCCCTAAATTGGGATCAGCCTGATTCTAAAACCCCTCGTGGGATAGTGAACGGGAAATATCTATCTTGATATGGTAATCCCAAGCACTTTACGAGTAAAGGAAATTGGTACATTGTATTGGAGAATGAAAATCATATTGCGGATCCTCATAAGGAAATAGCTAAAGGCAAAAGATGAAGAAGCCCTGGCCTCTGGCAGAGTTTCAACATCTTTCCAGCACAAACGAGTGAATTTTCGAGGATCCACCAAAAGAAATTTGCAGACTTGGAACTTGAACCCAAATGGCTGCTTATGGTGGCGAATGGCTCTTTCAATTCTGCATACCGCATGTGCAGACCGCTCCTCTCTTGACCTGAAGTTTGCAGCCAAACCTCTGGCATTCAGTATAGACACTTTCGCCGTTGTAATCAGCTAGGCTTGTTGCTGGTTCGATCGCCATGTTGCCGAAGACCTGTTTCTAGGATCGGCGTGGTTAGCGCATGATCAAAGCTAACTTAGCCCTAGTATATTTTCACTATACTAAATTACCTCGGTTGATACTTAGCCCTAGTATATTTTCACTATACTAAATTACCTCGGTTGATTTCATTTCAATTGAACGAACAAGATGATCTTGCTTCCACTCCGTTAAGTCAGTATTCCCGTCTGCTTTAATGCAAGGAAGATTCAGCAAGGAGGAGAACATACCTTTTTGGTGGGGCAGGGTGAGTGATCAGGGGAACAACCTTGCGTGGATATGAAGAGACTTGTGAGAATCTTCGGCCTTTTATAATTCGTTCGGGCACCTGAACGAGATGTTTTGTAGTCAAGGCTGTCTGCGGAGTGGTAGCTCATGCAATGACACGTCACAGGTAGAGATAGCCACACATCGGATATGCATCTAATAGCAGAAGAGAGACGGGGGAGAGACGGGGGAGAGACGGGGAAGAGACGGGGGAGAGACGGGGGAGAGACGGGGGAGAGACGGGGGAGAGACAGGGAGAGACAGGGAGAGACGGGGGAGAGACGTTAGCCTGTTTACTACTGTATTCTCACCGCCACTTGAGACTAAGGACTACAACAATCCGTTTTTCAAAATCCAGTATTCCCAGTACTTCCAATTTTCAAAAATTTTCTTCATTATGTCGGGTGCGAAAAACCTTCATCACAAAGTGGGCAAAACGCTGACCATGATACAGACGACAGCAGCTTCACAGGCTACCGGTGGTCTTACTTCGCCTCTCTCACAGACCAAACACTGCGTTCGAGGGTCCAGGACTTCATAGACACGACAAACTGGGATGCGCTCATTGAGTATGCGAACAGACTGCGGAATGGAAAGATCTGCAAGTTGCTGCCAGACATCGGTCTTGGATACAACCATCTGGTTCGCATCATTGAATTTCAAGACGATGTGCGTTGGATCGCCCGATTGCGAATGCCGCCCTTATCTAGAACGCAGGCTAGATCAAGCATCAACAAGCAAATCATGGGAAATGAGTACAACACGATTCTGCTCGTCAAGCAAAAAACCAAAATTCCTGTTCCGAGTGTACATGCTGTTGAACTTGACACCGAAAACATCGTGAAAGCGCAGTTTATGTTGATGGACTGCTTGAGGGGTAATTCCGGGATAGACCTTGGTATGGAGGTCCCCAACTTCTATAAAAGATGCGTTTTTTCGAAAATGGCGGAAACTCAGGTATTGCGCAGCGTGCACTGACTTCCACCCCATCAAAAACTAATTCCTGATTCCCCAGGTCTACTTGTCAAGGATACAACTACCAAGAATTGGGACTATCCTCCGCCAAAACGAGGACGGCTCGTTCGATCAAGGTCCCATACCTGGTATAGGCGGTCCTTTTGAAACAGCCACTGAATTCTTCCAGGCGTGGGCGACCAAAGTTGAGTTTGGAATATCAGAAGCGAAGTTGAGAGAAGCAGCGGGTTCGTTGGCAGATGAGCTATCTTTCTCTGCTTCTTCCTTCCTCTCTTTAGTGAAAACTCTTGCTAGGAATCTTTCCGTGCAAGATAAAGGCCCATTTCCATTGTGCCACGGGGACTTTGGTCACAACAACATGGTCTTTGACGACGAGTACAATCTTTTAGGTGTCATTGACTGGGAGGCTGCTTATGCTGGTCCATGGGAAATCTTCGCCGAATTTCCGTTGACTCTGTCACTGTTACCACCCGACATGGATGCACCGTGGAATTACGACGAAAATGGGCATCCAAGGGATGCGGAAAGCATACAAAGGTATGCTGACAGACGTGAGTATGTTACAGCAGTTATAGAGAAGGAGGAAGGGATGAATTTGCTTGAAGGATGCCGTCTTTCAGTTGCATTGCAAGATTCTTGTAGGCAAGATTTAGCTACAGCGATGAGATTATACAGAAGGGGGAAGCCTGGATGGTATTCAAAAGTGATTGAGAAATTTTCTGGAGCAGTCAGCCGCTAGACCCTTTCACTTATTTGGATTGTCGCGATAGCTAATCTAACTTCTCGGCGAAGAACATAAAATTGATCAAGAGTCAAAAAGCACAAGTGCAAATGTCCTCTCTAAATTGCTGACAGTGAACTCAATATTGTTCCATTAATTATTTTAAGCATGCCTCTATAATGTCCGCAAAGCGTTACTCATGGCCTATAGCTTCTTTCGCAATTCTCCCAATTTTTCCCCGTCTCTCCCCGTCTCTCCCCGTCTCTCCCCGTCTCTCCCCGTCTCTCCCCGTCTCTCCCCGTCTCTCCCCGTCTCCCCCCGTCTCTCCCCATCACTGTCCGTCTCCCCCCGTCTCTCCCCATCACTGTCCGTCTCTCCCCATCTCTCCCCCTCTCCCCATCCTCTCCCCATCTCCCAATCTCTCCCCACCACCAGCAGAGCTTCCTAAACATGCCTCAATCTGCAGCAATATCTCGCGTTTATAAGATGAGAGACAAGCTCATGACAGAACATACCATTCCCCCAGATGTTCTCACCAATCTGGACAGAGGCCTCGGTCTATCATTTGGGCAATCTTTGCACCAAATACCGGCTGGCCAGGGTCGTAAGACCCCCCAGGTATACAGATCACGCTGGAGATTGAAGAATGCGCAGTCTGTTTATTGGAGTATTCGGCAAAAGGACATCCATATCTTTCTCCCTTTCATACTCGCCATACCACCGAAAGCCTGTGAAACATTCGACGTTACGAAATTTGATCAGCATCACAGCAACCGTTATAAGGTTTCTCTTAGCGAAGGTTGCAAACAACTTCTAGAAAATCAGGCAAAGAAGCTTGGTATCGAACAAAATAGCCAGTTCAAAGAACTCATCGCGTGCTTATTCAGTCCTGGTTCGTGGTTGGCCTTTTCCAAATTTGAACAGCAAGTTAATTGACCTTTTACTAGACCCTCAAAGGCCCCAGCCGATAAAAGATGCCGATGAGACGCATTGCGATTTGTACTTGGCACGCGTCGATTCCCTTCGAATTGTTTTTGGTGATTACATACAAAGAGCAGTTGCGAACTCTCTTACCCAGATGCATGAGACAGCAAACGGCCATCCACCCGAAACCACTCAAAGTGTCTGGGCAAAACTGCCACATCAGTCTATGCAGGATGCTATTCTAAATTTGAACGTTGGTTCCGCAAGGGAACTCGCTAGGCTTCTATTTCCGCATATGAGCCAGAAAGTCCACTCTGTTCTTTGGCCTGAAGCAGCTTCTTCCAGTGGCGCAGCAAAAAGTGTTATACAGCCTGGTGGACATTCATCAAGCCTTGGACTTGACAAATTTCCCGATGATGGTTAGTCGAGTCAATGGTGTGTTACATCCATCACTAATACGTTTCTTCGCGTAGGGGACTGCGCCTATTTCACCTTGCGAGGTGCTTCTGTTTCAGCTATTACTTCGCTTTTCACCACCTACGTTTGCGATGCAATTGAGTGTAGTGACCTCAGACTTTGGGAATCAGAGAATTTGCTCTTAGAGACAACGGATTGCGTTATGCTGAATCTGTGGCGAAGCCAACCTGATTTTGGATTCATCCGCCTGCGTATTGGTTTCTCTATGAGCATGTCTTTTCTCAATAGTTTGTACACATAATTTTGTATCATCTGATCATCTTCAAATTATTCTTGACACTCCGTTGCTGACGACGACCTGAATGTTCGGCGGTAGAGATATCTCGCCACTACCGACTGTCCACCAAAGCTCCTGGCCTTGAGCGTCGTAAAATGTGATTTTGTCACATTTGAAGCAAACAAGCTTTCTCTCGATGCTTTGATCTACAAATAGATCGCGCAGGTGCGGTTTGTATCCATCCAGGACGCTGGGCTTATGTTCATCGGTCGCCTTTATCCAACGAGCACTCTAAAATAGGTCAGGGTATAGGCCCTAGAGAAAAAGATCAATTTGTCCACAAACCAGTGATTCCGTAGCTTCGCTAACGGTGTTATCTGCCATTTCTAGCTAGAGCGTCTTTGGCTCAGTTGAGACCCTGAGATTCCGCTTGCTCGGTGGAAAGGAATTTTGCTGCATGAGTCAGCCAAAACACTGTGTTATGACGGACAGACCAAGAAAAGTCATACCGCTTGGAAGTATGCTCGATCTTCAATCACTGAGAGGAAAGACGCATCGCAAAGACAAAATATTGAAGACAAACTGATATAAGGAGGGGTCGGGCTGCAGAGAAAATCTTGCCTGACCCCACCATTGGGCTAAGCCGAATATCATGTAAACGAGGCACCGGACCAACCTAGACTGCCAATCAGAATTCGGTTTTCCTTCCGTGAGTCATAACGTAATCCACAAGCCATCACTCATTTTCATGTTTATACAACTTCCCAGGAGCAACGCTTGTGAATTTTATAGCCTATTTAAACATATGTCGTTTCTGTGGACAGGCTGTACCCATGGCTCATACAAACTCCCTCGATGCGAGAGGCCGCAAGTACTATTTTTTCTATGGTACGCATCCCAGCCTGTCTAGATACTGCACCGGCGATTGTCTATAGATGGAATCATTCTTGTCAGTGTTTTGTATAGGCGAAGAGTGATCTGCGAAACTGCGCCATTGACGCGACCGCATAATATCAAACGCAGTTCATTGAACATGCGAACAATGGCTAAAGAAAAAGATATCATTATCTTGCTTTATCTGAATTATCAAACACACCCTATCCCACTGACGGACGGATGAAATCCGTCTTGGTTTACCACAACCCGGTGGCGTAAGGGATAGAAATTCGTGAGATCAATGGCATAGTGAGTGCTCCGCCTGCGAATTTGATTATGTAGGTAGGTCTTGTCGTTGGATTCATTAAATACTTTGGGCATGTACATTGAAGCGCACCTGATTTTCCCCTGCCCCCATCTCTCCCTGTCTCTCCCCATCTCTCCCCGTCTCTCCCCACCTCTCCCTGTCTCTCCCCACCTCTCCCCATCTCTCCCCACCTCTCCCCATCTCTCCTCATCTCTCCCCATCTCTCCCCATGCATTGACTAACTTTTATTATATCTGCTTCATTGATGTGTCACCAATTTCCATAAATGCCTTTGTATGGTCAAAATATTGCTGATTAAGTTGTATCTTTTTGTATCAGAATTTCGCTGTGACCACCTTCTCAAAGCAATCTATTTGATGGAGCTCATGCAGCGAACAAGAACCATGCAGTAGCCAGCCTTGATATTTTAAATCCAGGGCATTTTGATGTGAAGCAATATATAGGACACTGTTACGTTCCAGGGGCTATATAGTCTTGCATATTGAAGGCCGCCTCGACGCCGCAGACATTTCAATAGGCTGTTCTGCTGCGTCTACATGGATCCTTCTCACTCCGGAGTTTTGTATCTCCATCAAGAAAGCAATTTGTCTTGTGGCGTGAGATCCATGGGCTTCTTCACCACACTTTCTGGATGGCTTTTGACCCAATCTACTTTCTCGATCCGCCATCGGAATACCTCTGCCGATTCCTTCTGGGGAGGTCACCCATTTCGAGACGATACACACGAAGAAGAAACAAGGCCGGTAGTGAACACTTTCGAACTGCCTGTATACCCCCCCTCACTAGTGTGCAGGGCACCTTTAATCATCGAGACCCAACCGGTGCCAGCCGGCCCGTGCTATCATTCAACTCGCGGTTCTATAGAGCTGATATCATACAACCGTACACCACCTGTCGCAGAAGAACCGCCGGCCGAAAGTACCTGGACGAAATGGCTACCCATTCTCTGCAAAAGTAAGCTTCTAAAGTTGATCACTACCAATGCACCTTGCTAAGTGGACAGATTGATGAAATCAAATACAAGTCCTGCAAATGTGCCCCGTATTGGAATTTTGATGGAGTATGGAGGAGAGGTCAAGAGTTACCCAGATTTTCAAAAGTGCCTGCTTTTTGTTGCCAAGATGGATAATGGGGCTATTGAAACTGTATATATTGAGCCTCGTGAAGTCTTGGAAGGGGCCAAATCATTGGACTTGAGAAATCGGGATCGAACCCGCCAGGCCAGGCACATGTTGTCTCCCGAGGAGTGGTTTGCCTTAGAATATCGATATACGAGGAAGCGATAGAAGCTGTATGCTAGAGGCAATTTAGAATTCAAAGTAAAACAATTGGATCACCGAGGTTCTCTCTAGTTCCAGAGCCAATCATCACTGCACCTAGGTCCAGATTCTGGCAGTCTGCTTGATTAGCCACGTTGCTTCTCCACCGCTCGTTCTCAGAGCTGTAAGATGCCGTGTTCTGATCAAGACCAAGGAAGCAATGAAGAATATCAACGGTGGCGGGAAATAGGAAATGCAGAGGGTTTTACCTTTCTGTCGTGCAGCTGATCTAAAATGGAATACCAAAGGAATTTCTTGGACATTCGTTATGCGAGGGTGCAAAAGAAACTGCGATCTAGGACTTTTCCGCTATCCCTAGTTCTTAGTATTCGGCAAATCAACCAACAATTTCCATCCTTGAGGATGCGTTGGCAGCACTGTGCCTTATTAATAAAAGAGGTTGTCGTCGTATTTTGAGACTCAGTTCCATTTCACTGTTTACGTTCACTTGGACTCAAGATGTCTGAGGCGGAAAGGCAGCTCGCAATTGTGCTACAAGCTCTGGTGAAATCGGACTTGAACTATATCTGTCCTCGATGTTACCAGCTCTTTTCAGACATCATTGCATGTTATCGTCATTGTCGAGAGGCAGGAGAAGGCGACAGAGCAGATGATATTCACAAGGGGCTTGGTTTGATCACGAAAAAAGACTTCCCGGAATTCCTTAGATGCTATCGGGTGGCTATTGGGTTCTCAATTGCTGAATGTGACCTTCCATTGGGAGGCGGCCCCGGACGGCGCTCATATGACAAGTGCTTTGCAGTTGAATTTGTGCTTGAAAAGTGTGGTGAGTCTATGATTGCGAGAAAAAAGCTTCAAGATTTTTTTTCACTAATATTGAGCACAGTCCCTAGTAGAGACACAATGGACGCAATGTGGCTGGCCGTGATCAAAATCTAGGTGAGATTTCACCGAGTAAGGCCCCGATGGTAAGTCGCAAAAAGCGCTTCTCGACTAATGAGAATCTAATACCGTTATCTTACACAGACAATGACTTGAGCAGATAGTTTACTCGCACATTTGTTGATAGATCAGATACGAATGAGGCACAAAAATAGAGCTGTGAGCTGTATGGCAGGCTCAGTTTGAGAATTGGAAATGCAAGCGTGGCAAAGAGTTCAAAAAAACACATTGTGCAAGTTTCTCGGAATGTCACAACATGTCGCATTCATAACTAAATATACAAGACCGCGTCGCCTTTGATCATACAGCATTCTAAAAACCCTAATAATCCACTCAACTTTTCTTTGAACTCCGCCAACGAGAGCGATCCGTACACTTTGGTGTAGCTGAGGTGAATTGATGCGCAGATCGAGTCAAATTCATCACAGGGCTTGGCGAAGAATTGAATAAGGCCCCGAGAGAGAGGAATCATTCCTGAGTCAAAATGCCAGGCGAGAAGTGAAAGCATAACCAAAGCACAAGTAGTAAGCTTGCTCGCCATACGGTGCCCATAATTCTTCAGAATGTTGTTTTTGGCCAAAGCTCTGCGTTTGACCCAAGAACGGTAGTGGTACTTTCTGAGAGCCTGGCATGCGGAGACCAGAGATGCAGTTTTGGCATTGAGCTTTTGCTGCCGCTTTGTGGCTCGTTTGATCTCTCTTGTGCCTAGAAGCCACACTTGTTGAGCGATCAGCGTTGTTGTTGCGCTATTCCGGAGACCTGCTATGGGAATGGGAAACTGTATCACTCAGTATATAGCTGAAAGAAAATCATTGGTGTCTTACGTTTTGAGAGACTGTCGACATTTCAACGGGAGAGAAAGAAGCTGTTCAACGACAAAGCATATCTTTGGGACTCCTGAGCTAGTCGCCTTTTATGTGCTGGAATGAGATGGGATGCCCTCGAGCCCTGATCATATCACAAACACTAGCAAGGGATTGCTTGACCAATCAGAAACACGAGGTCCGCCCCACTCTCAATACAGACAAAGTCTTTCAAAAAGTCGGTATTTCATCTTTTTGAACAGATGAGTAAATTTGTTGTCAGTGCGCAGTGGGGACATATCTCAAGGCCTTCCATAGGTGAGGGATAGAGCGGCAATCTTCTTTTGTCGCCACAAGCGTTTACCAAGAAACTACAGAGCTCAATCAGATCAAGCAGGCAGACAGAGAGACAGTGGAAGTGAGCCATAAGGCAATTGCATTAGCCACGGTAGCAAGCTACTACCTGGGTGTACTGGGTCATACTACCTCACGCAAAGCATCCCCAGTACCTAAAGAACGAGAGATGCAGGAGCTGGCACACTAGTACTTGCAAAATGAAATAAAGAGATTACCAACAAAAAATCGCGATTTAACTCTGGCTTGGTATTAGTCCCCGCCAGGGGAAACAATGCACACTGAATTGGAAAGTGGAGCACATCTAGTCAAAGTAGCGCAGCCCCTTCGAATGACGAATGCTTCTGTGGCACCCAATGGTTGCGGAAGCGCAAACTGTGCGTCAAAGACGCCGGTCATCATATATCAGTCCATGCAGCCATTATTCAATTCAAGGCTGGTTGGCTTTTATCCTGCCACGGCTCTCTAATCAATATTGAAGTCGGATCACCATCCTATCCTTATTTCTCCCTGGTCTGTCTCACAAAGATGGACACCCACTGTCCTCCATTATACTCTACCTTTCTTACAACCCGCCATCCTCACTGGGATACCCAAGAAGATGCTAGTCATCAAGCCATGCATAGTACAGAGCCTTTCAGACCTCAGAAATATCCTCGACTATCTTCCAACCTCACCGAGCTCTCTTTACAAGTTTACGAAGTCCCTAACCATTTGGCTAGCCAGAGCCAACAGCGTACGTTCATCTTTTTCGTGCTAACCGCAGACTAACACTTGCATGTCACAGAATTTCTAGAGAATTACACCCCTCCCGAATTTTTCGAGCCGATACCCTCATTCCCTGAGACAAATCAACAGGGGGTCCCCAATTCTAGCAGCTATCTTCAAGCCCAGCATGTCCAGCCATACCTCTCCTTCAAACCCAACAACTATCAAACCATCGCAGCGAGCTTTACCGGGTCTAATTCAAGCTCTACCAATACTACCGAGCTTAAAATGACGCCATCCCATAGGGATCTTCAGGCATACAGTGAGCGCTCGCAGGTCTTGAATGCTAGAAGTAGGCAAGTTCAGACTCGAGAGATGAGTGAATCTTCATCTTTTACATCGTTTCGTAATAGATCACTAACATAGTATTGTTTAAAGACCCCAGATTGAATCTCTTTTGCGTCCAATTCTTCCTGCTTCCTCCGCCCCGCAAGACCAATTGTCAGCTCCACCCTTGGCTTCTGATTGTGAACATCTTGGAAGTGCGCAATCGCTGCTCTCATATCAAACTAAGCCACTAGAAGCGTGCGAATATACTTCCATCGAAGGTTCTGATCAGGTGCAAGAACATTTCTCAGGCTGTGCCCCCGACAAAGAGATTGACGCAACCCCGTACCCTGTTGGCCACTCTCATGTCAATGTCGATGCTGCCTTTCCAATTATGGATACAAATCCGAACCACCTCGGACCCAGGGCAGACTTGGAAGGGCTTCCGTTTTATCTCGAGTGGCAGCAATTCAATCTTGCCGACGGGACATGGAGGTACGTGATTTGATTGACCGAGCGTTGAACCATACTTATAGACAGATGGGATCCCGAGCAAATTCCGCTTATGGAACTGAAGGGCCACAAGCTTTTTCTTAAAACGGGGTATAGCCATAAACTACTCGAGCAGCCCTG